GGCGGCAGCGGCGGCGGCAAGGGGGGCGGCAGCGGCGGCGGCAAGGGGGGCGGCAGCGGCGGCGGCAAGGGGGGCGGCAGCGGCGGCGGCAAGGGCTCCAAGGAGAAGGGCGGCCAGGCGGACGGCAAGGAGAAGGTGGCGAAGCCGGACGGCAAGGAGAAGGACGGCCAGGCGGACGGCAAGGAGAAGGTGGCGAAGCCGGACGGCAAGGAGAAGGTCAAGAAGCCGGACGGCAAGGAGAAGGTGGCGAAGCCGGACGGCAAGGAGAAGGTGGCGAAGCCGGACGGCAAGGAGAAGGTGGCGAAGCCGGACGGCAAGGAGAAGGTGGCGAAGCCAGCGAGCGGCAAGGGCGGGCAGCCCGACAAGCCGCGCCCGCCGCAGCCCGAGAAGCAGTCGCGGCAGCAGCAGCCGGCGGATGCGAAGCCGCCACCCAAGCAGAGGACGGCTCAGCCCGCGCGCGCAAAGTCGGACGGGGGTGCCGGCGGCCGAAGGGGCGGCGAAGAGTCGGCCGAAGGGGCGGCGGACGGGGCCCAGGCGGAGGGCAAGCGGCCCCGCGGCGGCCGGGAGCGCGAGAGAGCCAAGCAGGCGGCTGCGGCGGAGCGGGCGGCTGCGGCGGAGCGCGGGGCGGAGGCGGAGTGTGCGGGCCCGCCGGAGGGCGACGCGTCCGACGGTGGCGGCCCCTCCTCGGAGGACGAGGCCGTGCGGCAGGGTGGCGCCACGAGCCGGCCGAGGCAGACGCAGAGGCCGCTAGGCAGGCGCCGCGGCTCCTCCGGCAAGAGCCAGGCGAGCGACAAGGGCGCGATGAGTGCGCCCTCCGATGCCGCGCCGCCGCCAGAGGCGCCTTCCGGAGGACGTGGCGGGCGCGGCAGCCGAGGCGGGAGGGGAGGCAGGAAGGGTGGCCGAGCGAGCAGCGAGTCGCCATCTTGAGCGAAGGCGTCGACGACGGGGCAAATGGTCGATCTTGGGGTCGGTTTCGCCGCCGGCGCTGCGCCCGGAGTCGAGCCTCCCTCCTGCGCCGCCCTCCGCCAGGGCTCCGACTCTCACATTTCAGAGAGGTTCGATGTTCGAATGGAGAGTCGCGTCGTGCTGTAGAGTACCGTAAATCGCGAAAGCCGTGTAAACAGTAAAGCCGTAGGAGCTGAGATGATGTTGTGGCGGGCAGCCGCCAGCCCGGGGCGGGGCACGGCTCGGCCTCGCCCTCGGCTGACGGCTCGGCAACCGGCATATGTGTGTGTGTTGTGAAGCGTGGTATTTTCTCGTCACACACACAGAGAACACGACGGCCACAGAGCGGGAGCCGCTTCTAGCTCCCTGGTCCACGCTATTGTTTGCGCCTCGTGCATCTCCCGCGTCTTTTTTCTCTCTATTCCCCGTGTGTGTGGTTTTCGCGCGGGGCGCCGGGGTCCGTCCCCGCCTCGCCCCTCGCGTGGTACAGCCTCTCTCACAAGTAGTGGTGCACAAGGAAGGTGATGCTCACGGTGGTGATGGCAAAGAGCACCGCCAGCGACTCGGTGCTGAAGCCCGCGGCCGCGAGCAGCAGCCAGCAGCCGCTCTTGAGCGCCGCAAACGCGACGACGGCGACGCCCACGTACAGCGCGTCTTCCGCCATGTGGCCGAAGGTGTAGGGGGCGGGCTTGTCGCGCTGCTTCGAGAAGTGGTCGACGTAGGTCCGCTGCAGCCGCATCCGCGCCTCGTCGGTGGCGGCGGTGCCCGACGCGTGCGCCTCCGCCTCTGGCAGCGGCGGCAGCGGCGGCTGCGCCTCGAGCGCGCGCACAGTGATCTCGCCGACGCCGGTGAAGAGGCGGCTGGGCGGCCAGAGGTCGAAGGCGCCGTGGATAGCGAGCGGGAGGATGGGGGCCTGCATCTGCTGCGAGAGGTGGAAGACCCCCTTCTTGAAGGGAAGCACCAGGTGGCCGTCCTTTGTCCGCGTCCCCTCCGGGGAGACGGCGACCGAGCGGCTCCACCGGCTCATGATGGCGGCCACGCGCTCGTTCATCGTGGCGATCGACTTTTTGGGGTCGCCACGGTTGATGGGCACCTGCCCGAGCGCCAGGCTCATCCACCCGAAGATGGGCACCGCGAAGAGCACCTTTTTGCCGACAAACTTTGGCGCGCGGTGGCCGCCGCACGCGACAAAGAGGATGAAAGGGTCGAGGTTGGAGGCGTGGTTGTAGACGATGACCCCGTGCGGGATTCCGCTCCACCGCCCCGCGCCCTCCCCCTCAACCCGCACGCGCACCCCGGCCGCCCGCAGCACCAGGTGCGCCCACGCGAGCTCCAGCACGTCCAGGGGCAGCAGGCCGTTTGGCACGCCGAGCGGCCGCAGGAGCGGGTGGGTGAGGCGGAGCGGCGTGAAGAGGAGGAGCGCCATGCACCCCCAGATGGTCACGATCAGGGTCAGCAGCAGCCGCCACACCATGTGCACCTTTGCTGCGAGCGACGGCCGGCTGAGCTGCCTCCGCAGCTTGGGCCGCAGCTCGTCGAGCGCCGCGAGGACCTCGCCTTCGCCGGCGGCCTCCGCGGCATTGCGCAGGCGCGCCAGCTTGACGAACAGATCCTCCCCCTCACCCTCCGTGTGCGGCGCCTCGATGGCGGACTGCAGCGCGGAGAGCTCCGTCATGGCCGCCATCAACGGCCAGGCTCTCGCAAATCAGCCGTCCATTCGCCGAAATAAAAAAATTGTAAACCCGAAGAGAGCTAGGAAGAGGTAGACGCCCGAGAGTGGGCGACGGCTAGCACCGCACTTCTCTCCTTAAATCCAACCCCTGCCTAGAGAGATAATAATCATCGGGCGGCGGCGCGGCGCGGCGGCGGGCGGCGCGGAGCGGGGTTATGTTGCACTTTTGCGCGCTCTCGAGAGCCAGCCGCACGGACTCGTTGTGCTCGATTCTCAGTCGTTGCTCCGTTGTATCAGCTGCCTGCAAGCCGCCGTGAGCGACCCGCCGCTCACTAACCACCAGTGTTGGCGCCACGGGCAGGCCCGAGTCGCCCACCATAAAACCAGTGGTCTACAGTTACTGCGTTATTCACTTCGGTGCTGATAAAAAAATCGCTGCCCCACTCGGCGCAGCCGAGCTCTGGCTGCGCGCCGGCTCGATGGCCGGGCTGAGCGGCCTCGAGGTGGAGGTCGCTGCCGTACCCGACTCGTCGGACGAGGACATCGCTGGCGACGAGGGAGAAGGCTTCACCATAGCGGCGCGCTCGGTAGCGCCCGGGTTAAGTCCCGGCTCCAGCTCCACGCTGTCCACGGTGCCGGCGGCGCCGGCGCGGGACTTGACTGCTGGTCCCGAGCAGCGCGGGAAGAAGGCGAGCGGCGTCCGCCAGGACAAGCACCAGGGCGCCGGTAACCCCGCGGCGCCGGCTGCTCGGCTGTGCAGCAGCGCTGATCAGTGCAAGAAGCACCAGCAATGCATTCGCGGCGAAAAGCACCCCGGCCTGTGCAAGATCGTTCCTCCGGGACCCGAGCGCGATCGGCTCCTGGAAGAGCGTGCGCAAGAGCGTGCGAAGCGCTCTCTCCCGTCGGCGGCCCCATGGCCTCCGCCTCCGGGGCACTGCCAGAAGAGCGCCGACTGCGTGCGCGGCTTCAAGCACCCCGGGCTGTGCAAGCTGCGATCGGTCCACGCCGACGGCACCGCGCCTCGGGAGACCAACGGCAGCGCCGGCGGTAGTACCAGCAGCAGCGCGGGCGGCGGCGGAGTCAGCGCGGGCGGCGGCAGCGGCGCCTCGCCGCGGATGGCGATTCGCGGCGGCGGCGGCGGCGGCAGCAATGGCCAGGGGGGCTCGGCGGCGAACGGCGCGAGGAGGTCCAGCACGGGCGGCGGCAGTAGCAGCGGCGGCGCCGACGTGGGGCCCGGCAGCTGCGCTCCCCCGGGCCCGAGGGAGCCGATCGCTTGGCTGCAGTGCGAGCGGTGCTCAAAGTGGCGCGTCGTGGCGCCTCTGTATGCCGAGCAGATGGGCAAATCGAGCCGGCCGTGGTACTGCGAGGCGAACCCGGACCGGCGGTGCGCTCGGTGCGACGCGCCGGAGGACCCGCGCGCCAACGAGGAGGACGATCGCGAGGTGATCTTCACCGTCGAGCGGCTTCTCAAGGAGCGGAGGCGAGGCTCGACAGTCGAGATCCTCGTCCGCTGGCTCGGGCGCGCGCGCCCGGCTGTGTGGCTGTGTGGGGCGGAGCCTCTCCGTGCGCGCATGCGCGCTG